GTGGCTATATATATATTAGGGAGCGGAAATTTTTTAGAACCCATTCAAAATGCATTGTGACACTGAATACAATAAAAATAGACTATTTTTTTAAGTAAAATTATATTTTTAACTATTATAGGTTTCAAAGTCATTGCTTGGGCTCCCTGTGTTGTGATTGGCCAATCCAGCGCGCGCGATCGAATTACGCGTTTATGACTTGCTTGTGAGATTGTAGTAGGGTAGCTCAAAATTCCTTTCCCAGGAAAAAATTTGTACAAGAACAGTTATGTAGAAGAACACACCCCGTCGGCTCCTCCTGAGAAAGAGTCATGTGAAAGCGCTTGCAGGAGGTGGACCGATGTGAGGGTGTATCTTTTTTGTGATGTGAGGGGGAATCTTTTTATATGAARAAGTACGAAGCTTTGCACTTCTTTTAGGGTTGAACTCCTCAACCACCATAAATAATTCTTTGACTTCAAAAAGAAGGCTCTACAMTAGCCTCATTCGCAGGCAACTCTTCTCGGTGGGATTCCTGTGTCAAAGCAAAAAAAAAGCTGCCGGAGGGGAGGGTTGTTCCTGATTTGAATAAATATTTACAAGAGGAGAAGATAAACGGCAGAAGACTACAAAGAATACTTCATTTATTAAAGTATATTATCAAGATGTACAAATTATGCATGCAAGGACACATTAACGAATTGAAAATCCCATACAGCAATAAGATGGTTCAGGTAAACTGCTGCAGCGCCGTTTTTACCCTAAAAAAAGACGTGATGATTAATGACAATTTGGACATGKAGTATGAGTTTATGAAATATCAGACTTGCATCCTGTCCGACAAAAGGGTAGCTGTGAAGGAGACATTTACATAATATTTACATCAAATTTACATCCTTTAAAATTGCGTGATTTTTTTCAGATGGCGGACAAAATGTGTTGCCGCCTGTGCTAAAGATGGAGTATGCTTTCTTTTGATCGTATATCTTGACGAATGTTGGTAGTCCTTAATGCAACAGATGCAGGTCATCACCTAATAAGAGACAACACTAATTCGGGTAAAGGGRAGGTCAAAGACATGGGAGAAGAGAGTACACTACAATTTCGGCTCATTCGCTTCAACAGTTTTGTCCCCCCCATTGTAGCTTATAAAGAAGTGTCGTTCCYGCCGATTGCTAATTGTGCACTTYAGAACAAGAACGTCTRACCAGCTAACCTTTCAAATAGGTGTGCATCAGTAGTTGTCAGAAGAGATTGAAGGAGCTTCTGAACGCCCATGTCACGTAGTTTTACTTGACGTTCCATGGCTCCTTCTTCTGTATTCCACACCAGATTTGAAATACAGTACGTTGCAGCCATTTGAAGCTTAACGCTCTCGTGCATCATATAATACATTAATCGTTTTAGAAGGCCTTCGTCTCGAACAATGAACTCTTTTGCCGATGTACCATTGGCTATATTGGCGATGACACATAAGGCCTACAAAATGAATAAATCCTTAAATTACACTCGATGCACTTTAGTAACTGCTGTAACTTATCCAACCACTTATGTGAGACTTGTGAAGCGATTGAATAAGTTAAAAAACGGAAATATACAGGTTAGAAGAGAAACAAACCTGTTCTTTGACTTCCACCTTCTGTAACTCACTGTCCAGGATTGGCTTGACACTGTTCATGACGTGATTTCCATGTACATTCATAATACGATTGATGTCCTATAGGGAAAGAAATATCTCGATCATTACATGTATACAAATAATTTTGATTGGATGCTTCTATTTGATGCTTCAATGTTGACTTTTCTTGCATGATCCGCTATTGCAAAACAGTCATTTCATTATATAGTTTGTTTTGATACAGCTGTTTTAAGAATTTGTCTTTTTCTTYCACTTATAGTAGAATAGGATAAGTTTCTAGGGAAAAACAAAGTTGATACGCTGACTAAGCAAATTGTTTTTGTGTAAACAAAAGGAAGAATGTCCGAAATCAAGCATGAAGTAAGTGTTAATAAGCGTAAGACCAAGAATATGCTAAAGATAAAAKAAGAAGAAGAAGAAGAAAACTTCTCGTCTCTAAAGATTATTGTTTTTTCTTCCAAAATACTTATGGCGTAGTGAAAGCCAGGTTAAAACTCTAGGTCTTGTGTGAATATAGGCTTAGCCTCAAATAGGACAAAAATGAAACTTTATAAAGCTTTAGCAATGATGAACTTTTTCGTGCTTTCTCTTGTTTTTGGAAAAGGTTGGCGCATGAGAAACTGTTGTCAGCTAAAATAGCGGTCGCTCGTTTTGAACGGGAAAAAGACGTATTGATGCACCTACACATTACCTCTCGTCCAGACAGCAGATTTCTCATCAATCCCAAGGCCTTCATTACTACATCAGTATCAGGGTCTTCTAACAAACTTAATAAATTACATTTRAATCATTGTTAGTGGGCAAGAATCGCATTTCTGGAAAGACAAAATGGGTGCTTATGTGGCGTACCTAAAAAGATGTGCAGGTCCTAGAACTTCCATGATTTTATTCTTTGTCGTCTCATTTGCTTGATATGCCATGTTCTAATAAAAAAATTAAAAATAGACAATTGATTAGACGTGTGACGTTTATAAGTTTATAATAAACCCTTTTAGCGATCTCTTTTACGCTGTGTTAGCCTCAAAACCATGTAATATATTCTTTTAGTATAATTTCATAAGTGAATATCATAATTMTAGCGCGCTGATTGGTCGAATTTGACGCTTCAATGAGCGATGTTCACCTATAGGTGAATATTGGATTTTTTCGCAAAATGGCGTCGTCCGCGAGTCGTTGGATTAAACAATTGGATTAAAAAAAAATTGGATTAAACCTTTTTATAGGTAAGTTTTGTTTATCTAATAATAAAAACATTGTCTAAAACTCCTTTTTTATCCATCGTTTTACGTCAAACAGGCTGAAATTTGTAGCTTTTCGCCTGGTTTGTTTACATTTTGCTCGATACATTTTTTGACAGAATGGTTTCAACAACAGCTAGTCTGAATTCACTGTCAGCTTTGAAGACATGGATACAAGTGAATTAAACAAGTGTCTATCAAAGTTTTACGTGCCCATAAGAAAGAAAGATGGAAGTTATTACAAGAAGACGACTTTGCTGTCAATCCGAGCGGCCCTCGACCGCCATCTTCAATCCCCGCCACATAACATTTTACGAAAATGCAGTAGTTCTTTTTTCTCTATTTTTATGAATATCCACTWATGAAATTATACTAAAACAATTATTAACCTCAGGCTCAGTAAATATTCATTGATAATCATTTCGCCTTCGACGAAAAATTGTTAATTATTATATACATAGTACTGAGATTTTCTCACATATTTTTCTATTTGAAAATCCGTTTCAAAATATAAACTAGCCAATCATAGGAGCGAAACCAATTTCTCACACGTGCAAAAAGCGTTTCGTCCAATCAGGAAAGACTTGTGAAAACGTACTACGGAATTCAATCAAAAACTTTAAACTTCTTATTACTAGAGACAAATTGAATTTACAATTAATATTGTCAGGAGAAAAACAAAAATTCAACAGCTAAAACGGCGAGTGATGAAAAGCTACTCGATGAATTTCCGAAAGAAAAAAAAGTCTTAAGCAAAGAAATCCAATTCCAAGAGACCGAACGAGGCTGAACGAATACATCTCTGACATCTCTGCGACTTCATTATGATTGTGAAGCCTAAATACAAGAGATTTTCTGAACCAGCAGGTCCTTAAGTTTTATTTTAAAGTTTTAATCGACATCTAAAAGAGTTAATACAAATATTCCACCAGTATAATTCCCAAGATTATCTTACCTTAATCTTACCTTGATAATGGCCGCTTAGGCCGAAAGCTCGGTATTATATCAAGTAAACGCAGAGGATTCATTTATTTTTACTAATAATCAMGCGATCAGTTTTGACGTTTGGCGTCTGCCGTAAACGCGTGTCTAAAACTCTCTATACCCGCGTGTACGAACTTGAAATTTTCGATACAAATTGTGAAAATTTGTACATTATGAGTTTAAAAATGGTAAATATTGCAACCCACTACAACGGTTACCACAAGCCGCTATAACGGGTCGAGAACCATTTCATTTCTCATAGTATACTTGTCCCTCRTCCCGCTACTTAACAATTAGACTTCGAGGTCGAGTGGACTACGAGTTAATAGCCCATGAGGCCGAGTCCGCGAGGCCGAATGGGATATTAGCTCGTAGTCCACGAGGCCGAGAGGTCTAATTGTTTTAGTATAAACATACTAATCGGTCAAATAATGAAAACAAATTGAAATATCCTTAAAATAATTTATTAATGGTGCCGTCATTTTGATTTTCCCGCGAGTGGTCTATCACAAATTAGACCATTAGTAGAGTAGCCAATCACAGCGCAGTATGAGTGATAGACCATTAATGTTTATACTAAAACCGGTTGTCAATTCGCTACAGCCGAACACGTTGTATCCGGTTGACAACAAACCCGCTACAACCGGTTGAGAACCATTTCATTTCCCTAAGGCCTAAGTATACTTGCCCCTCAACCCGCTACAACTGGTTGGTCAACCCGCTACAGCCGAACCCATTGTAACTGGTTGAGCAACCGGTTGTAGCGGGTTGGCGGACTTAGGGAAAAGGAATGGTTCTCAACCGTTGTAGCGCATTGTGATAACCCGTTATAGTGGGTTACAATTGTTGCCATTTGTGAAATTTAGAAATATACGAATCTGGAAGAAGAACCTTTGCGCAATTTTCACACACGCGAAAACTTGCCAACTTCGGTTTTGAACCAATCAAAGAGAATTTTCGATACGAGATCATTTTCAAAACAGAAGAAACGATCGCAAAGGTTTGAGGATGCACGTGGGCCTTTAAGCCCAATTACTTCGAGTCCTGCTTGGAATAATTAGCATATACTAACCATTAAAGCCCAGATGCCATTAAGTTTTAATGGTTTTGCTGATCTTCGTGTTAGTCCGGCTAATAACGCTACTGCTCCTGCTTCTAAAATTGGCTATTAATTAAAACAATATAAAACATGGATAAATAGATATTAGACGGAACTGATCTCACAGTACCTCATCAACACCACAATGACATACGATTAGCTCAAATCGGGGTGCTATTCTCACTGATTGGATGATCACAATTTTCTCATTGCGCTCTATTTATAAGGTTCAAAAGAGTTGTTTATTCACGGGACAAAATTATTTCATTCCCCTGGGGCCCTGTGTGGGTTTTTAAACCAAGGCAAGGGCAGTTTTGTCATCCTTTCGCAATTAACTAGCTAGCGAACGACGGCAAGCAAGTTTTCAGCGACCCTCCCACCTCCCCTTCGGCGACGAGTATACCTCATATTCCTCACCACTCAATGTCTCCGGAATCGCGTCACCCATAACTTAATCCCCATATCCGGGACAAAGAGTGGGCATCCTGTCAGGGAGAATACATTACTATTTTGGGCCATGTTTGGTCATAATTTACATGATTTCTTCAAAAGTCAACCATATTTTGTTCAAAATCAATACGTCAAAACCTCGTGATACACAATGAACTCCTTTGACGACACAGCTGCMATTTTGGTAATGCGTCTTTTTATATTTGCTCCATACCACAATAGTAACAATGTCGTCAAAGCAGGTCTTTTATTAAAAACCTCTGAGTCAGAGACTACAACACAGTGGACCATATCGCTGTAATTCTTTCGAATGTTCCAGTAATACACAAAAGACCTACCTCTTTACTGGGTGAAAACTCTAACAAGAGATTACACAAAGCAGATGAGCAYACAGTCAACATCCCTTCATCAGCATTATGCATAATCTTTACAATTGGCTTCCAAACGGCTGTATCTTGAAAGCTCGTTCTAAGTTGTTGAACAGACCTTGATAAACTATGAAGACATTTGACAGCTGCAAGTTGGACATGTGGGTTGACATCCTCTAGTCCAGCCACGACATGGTCCATGGTGGAGTCACTTTCTATTATCTAGTTCACCAACATTACATGAACATTACAATATAAATAATCATTAATCATTGATATTCCACATGTCAATTAAATGTCCAACATTTGCCTATTGCCTTTTACTGTACTGAAATTAGTTGATGTTGCTACAGTGAAACAGACTTACCTTTTTCCTTATATTTTCATCTGTTGCACCAAGTGATGCTAAAGCTTTGAGTCCACTCTAAAACAAATTACAAGATCTAGTTGTACAAAGAATGACTAGTGCAATTTCTTGGATTTCATGATCCATATAAAATCCATGAGTAGTGCGTAATTATACCCACAGATGATTTCTTTATCATTTATTCGTACCAACAAATTTCATCAATGGTTTTGGACATACTAGGTTACACTATCTTGTACATTATTGTGTATGAAAATACCAGCTCACAATGCATCATTGTCAATAAGGTTGGACAGAATCTGTGTGTATGAAATGAAATAACCATAACCTTATCACAAAGACTTTACCTCTCTCATCAAGTTATAAGTATCACTGTCCATGTCATTCTTTTGAAGAAATCCAATCATTGTTTTAATTAGATGATCTGATATAGCAGCTAATCTCTGCAGTTCAATGTCTTCTTCAATCAGGTATGCTGAAAATCATATTCAGTCAGTACAATGCGATAAAGTTGTGAAACACATAATGAATTACATGAAACACATTTATTTACAGCTGTCATACCAAGTGTTTCAGCAGCCTCAGCTCTTATGCATGAAGGTTTGTCTTGTCTGCAAATTCTTACAGTGGTGCTTAGGATCTATAATTAGAACAAAAACCCTGAAGCTTAGGATGAATTATACAAATACTGGAAAATAAACGCTGGTCATACCAAAAATTGMCAAGACTTATGTATAATTATTTGTACTCATCTATTTGTACTCAACTATTTYAGATAATGCTGAGTACTGAATACTGTGATAATGCATAGTGCATTCCAAGAAGAATATGATTTGATGCTATCAAAATCCACTTATAATAAACTGCACTACAAAATAATAATTCTATGCTTTCCAATGGATAGTCATTTTATTCTCCAAAGGATAGTCATTTGTACAGGTATCTCCCACCTTGGTCCTCATGCATATAATTTCCATGTAATTTGGCTGTGCATGCTTTCCACTTAAGCATGCATTTCTCTGGATATGTGCATGCTTATATATACACAAGCTATATATACTCCATGGTATATGTTAAGGTGAGAGTCATTTCTTTCTTCATTTTCACTACTTAAAACTTGTGAATAGACCTGTGAAGCTTTAATTTACATATATCCCCCAAGAACGTGATTTGCAATTCATTGTGGGATCATTTTAACTGGAGAAAACAATTAAGCTAAACTAAAACTACCACAATCTATCAACAGGTGTGAAATAAATTTCTTTTCAGTAATATTAGCAATCTATGAAAATTACAACATGAACATTTAAAATTGTTAAGTATCAATAGTCAGTATTCACATACACAGGAATCAAGACCAGGCATCATGCATAAAGCTCAGTTATTTGTGAAAAGACAATAGTTTTTCATGACCGACACTTAGATTCATGCCAGGCACTTGACTCTTTATGTWTGACTACTGAGGCAAAACACAAATCAGCTATTGTTTTATTTCAAATGCAAATTGAGATGAAAAAAAGAATGATGACTAATACTAAACAATGTAAATACCTATGTTAACTTATTCTTATTAAAATACATTATCACAGTCACGAACCTTAAGAAGTAGTGAATGATTATCCTCAGCAGTAAAAGCTCCTGATCTAAACATATTGGTCAAACTGAAAAAAATTACAAAAGGATCAAAACCCATATGATTAAAGAACAATGACTGTAGCAATATTCCTTTTCCCATTCAAAGTGACTGACTGCTCATGAATTTGTCTTAAATACAGGGTATATGTAATTTCATGGTTTTCTTCCTATCTTGAGTAGTGTCAGGGTTTGGAGGTACCAGCAGAATTGTCCCCATCCAAGTCTGGCACCGCGGARCCAGGGGTGCTTTAGCCCCCAATAATTTGGCTGACATTTTCAAAACATTTAATCTAATTCAGCTGGCGCTTCTTGAAAAAAATCATAATTTTCAAATTGAATGTCATACATCCACTTTAAGTTTTAAAATAAATGTAATAATTGCCTATAAAGCAAGATAATCCCCAGCAATAACTGTGCACCATTTCCCCTAAACACCAGAAGACTCGTGTAGAAAGATATACTTCGAGGCACTTGACAYGATCATCGCTATCATCAAATAATGTTTTCAACAGCCAAGCTTGGTGGCTTACATGCACCTTGAAAGTATTCTTCTAAAAAAACGATGACATCGCTTAGGATATTGACTATGTAAAGTGAAACTACAACAAAGTAAATACGCCTAACCTAATTTGTCAGCTCAACGGCTACTCAAGGAGACGGCTACTCAAGGAGACGTTTTAGGAGAGAAGAATCTCATTTCCAAGATCCTAACCATTTGCGTATTGATAAATGTTAAACCCGGAAAGTGCGACTGGGAAAGAACTTTTTCAATAGCTAGGAGAGTGAAGATGTCAACTATGACCCAGCACCAGTTTAACAGCATCTCAGACAGACCAAGCACACGTTGTGCATTTTCAGACCCCCCAACTCCCAAGTTGTCCCATCCCGATTTATTCCCCCCAATAAAAATTATGCTCCACAGTGCCTAAATGTATTAGATGTTGTAGGTGGGAAATGGCTTGAATGTKTGGGTGGGCTCTTACCATCTCCCAGAAATGCCCCTATGACAATTGTCAAGTGCTTCAAATGTTAATCCATTGTTTGAATTTTGATTGTCCAGGGTAAATAGTGTTATTTTTTCAAGAAGTGAGTTGTTTCAGGAMCAGATCCATTTGAATTTAAAACCAACTAATTCCCACCAAATCAGATTTGTGATTAACTTATGCATGTCACTAATTATAAACATTTAAATTGGGCATTAGCAAAACAAAGGGCAATGACATCAAGAACACGATGGAGCCTGATATGCATTGAGAACTTACCATTTAGCAGCACCTAATTGAATGTTGTCTGGATTGTCTCGTGATAGAAGTTTAGCCAAGACTTGAACAAGCCCTTCTCCTTGATGAGAGGCTAGTAAAAAACAAATATAATTGATATTGTCTTCACATAACTTATCGACTATTCTTTTTAAAACTGTTGCTTTGCTGAGCATCTACATGTACATAGTCCTAGCACTCAATAATAGTTACTAACTGTGTCTGTATATTAAAAGTGCAGTGCCTCATTGACTTTTTAAAAGTTGCCTTTATACAGTAGCTGACCTCCCTTGCAAACCAAATGCTAGCAGAGCACCCTAGTTAAGCAAAAATAGTCCATTATCCATGGACTGGCACAAAATTCCCATGYAAGTTGTCAGTGTGTGTATGTGTAGCACCACAAGAAACCTATAAACTGCACAAAATGTTTATAATACACATAAGCTTAGGCAACACCTGATAGCAGAGCCCCAATAGAAGAAAAAGGTTTTATCCAGATCCAAGATCAAGGTGACCTTAAGATGCTGGCTAATTCAAGGGGTAGTAAAAACAATAGACAAATGGCCTTTCAGCTGCTATAGCCATTTAGTCTTACATGTAACTGCTCTTTGTAAAAATATGTGAAAACAATTAGAACCCAGAACYACACAATAAACCAAGATTTCCTGTTAGAATATGATGATATATTTCAATATTTACATCATGTAAAAAAATTACCTAAAAAAATTTTTAACAGATAATTAAACATGTGAAAAATAATGCATTAAGTTGAAGATCATTTTGGCTTGATTTGTATCTTTTAATTTTTGTAAAACGTTCAGACTAAATCACTGTTTTCATTCATTTATTAAACCCACATGTAACCTAACTCAGCCTACATACATGTTATTAACATGTAGCTAGTGGATTCTGATAACATTCTCCTCTATAACACTGGTGCTGTGCTATTATGTGCTACCTAATGGATATAGCCATGAATGGTTAAAACATGATCCATAATTGATCATGAATGTGGCCTGTGATTGTGAAAAGCAAAATAAGTTAGCTGTGATACCCCTGTCAGTGAAGCATGAAATTAACAGATTTTAGCTATCATAAATGGTGATTTACAGTCAATTTCACATAACTTTTGATGTAAAAGTTCCAAATTTTGTTAGGAACTTCCAAAGTTCTCRCTGTATTGCAAACTTTGCTTTTTTGTTTTTGGTACATCCAGTCAATCAAATCCTTAACATAGAAAATTGTACTGCTTTTCAACTGCCAATCTGTTTCGATCACTGAAACTTTTATTAGGAGATTATTAGGTGAAATTGAGAAAGAATGGACTGTGATTCACAATTGGTCCCCCCCTCCCCCTTTCAAATGCTATTTGATTTCTTACCTGACATCATGGCTAGTGATACCGATCCATTCTGATGTGATGCTGCTGCATAGCAGTGCAGTACAGGAAGCTGAATTTTTTTGATCTTTCCAGACAGCAAAGGTAGCAAAGCATCCACAGCTCCAGTATTACAAAGCAAAGCTTGATGAGCTGCACTTTGACAGCACTTTGAAATTATTGTTGCAGCACTCTCTGCTTCAGCATATGACCCAGAGAGAAGCTCAACGAGTCTTGGAATGATTCGTGGATTCTAAAAAAATGTTATTAAGTGCATGTACAACATAATCATAATTATTCAAATTCTCACATATGCTAACTCTTACAAMAATATCAAGGCAACTATCCAGCAAAGTTTTATACTGTCCAGGTTAAGCAAAGCACTAAAGATATTTCTCCCTTACTAAGTAACTTTCTCCTGCATTAATACTCTTCTTTATCCACAACAACACAAACAGGAAAATTGATTGCATGACCTGTTTGTACAGAGTACTGTGTCATTACTGACTTCTCTGGATGGTCCAACCTGGGTGCTGATTATTATGTTGGCAAAATCTAAGTATAACCTTTGATTTTCTGACATATCAACATTGACTATTGGAAGAAAAGTTATATGTTTAACATTTGCAACATCACTAAATACCAAACAATGAGGTCAAACTGAGGACTATTAGATTTTCTCCCTAATTCTCCCAAATGCTTACTTCTGTGTTTCATTAAAATTAAAATTTTAAGCAAAAAAAAAGAACTTAAGTTTACCTCATATATTGGATCACAAGGTATTCCATTTGACTGGTACAATGTGCGCAGTGATCTTGCTGATGCCTCAACAATTCTCTTGTCATGGTGACATATTCCTGACAAGAAAAAAAAAATTTGACCTGGACGAAGTAAGTTTTATTTAATTTGCACTGCCCTAGTGATGGACACTCTGTCTTAAAGCTTGGCTTGATTGAGACCTGTGCTGTGCCTACATATGCATGTAAAATCACATGGAAAAACTMGACKAACAGAAAGCCATTTACATGGTGATGTCGTTATAATAACAATAGTTACAACTACCAGATGAATGCTTTACCCACTTTTCCTTTGTAAATAAATGTAATTGTCAGAAATGTTACTAACAAGACATCAACAAGAAATAAAAGCTTACTAGAACATTCCTAAATAGCTACACACTTGCAACATTCTGGTAGTTATAATCAGGTATGTTGATGCAAATATCTATCCAAATACAAAAATACCTTTGAGAAGAACATCAAGAGCATGAGACTTTAGAAGTATACCAATGCTTTCTTTTGTCCCTGCTTTTGAAAGCAAAAATGATAACAATGCATCCCCTACTGAGTGTACATAATTAGTTAAGCTTACAGTAAATAAAGCTATCAACGGGATAAATATCCTTATCCATCACATAAACTTCATTCAAAACCTGTTTCCTTTTCAACTTTTCAAATGACTCGTTTTATGGTCATTAACCTCAGACTATTTTAAAAGTTGTCACTTTTGGAAGAACCTCCAGTTATGTGTTATTTTGTTTTACAAAAGAAGTTGCACAAGGGCCAAATATAAAAACATGATTTCTTGCCTTACTGTCTCCATTTATATAAATTTACAGGCTAAATTTTAGCCAACCTCTTTTATACTGTTGACCTTGATTATGTGGTTATGGTACTTGTTGCTTAAATTATGGCACACACAGTTATACACAGGATAGCATTATCCACTGCCTACATTTTATTAAAATGGATAAGGATTTACCACAAAAGCATTTGACATGTATTTTTAGAGTATGTATTAGTCATGGTATTCTGACATTGACTAATCTAATTTCCAAAATGTTAATAAGTTTTCATCTTATTCATGCTGTGCAATACTATCTTATACATTGCAGCTGACATTACACTAAATGACTATATCAATTACCACAACTGCAAAAAATATCAAACAAACCTCTAGCGAAGCTTCCCAGTACAACAACAGCTTCAATGATAAACTCAATTGTACTGTCATCTCTTGACATCATTTCCACCAGTTTCTGGATGGTACCAAGTTCAATAAGAAGAGTTTTTCGAAGTTTATTACCAATCACAATATTCTTTATGTTTCTGTTGATTAACATGTAAGACCTTTAAGGCMTTGTACTATCAGCAACAATATGAAATGTTAATYAGATCAAATAAATGGTTGTAGGTTGGTCTATTCATTATGATGTAAGCGCTACTTCAACCTAAAAGTTATTTATTTTTGTCAAAATAAAAAATAAAAATAATAAATAACTTTTAGGTTGAAGTAGCGCTTACATCATAATATGAAATGTATAGTTTGGTGCAACATCACTACAAAGGACATAACATATAATAATTTATATACTTCCTAAAAATCCTCATACTTGTATTGTAATCTAAACCCAGTTTAGAAATTTTTAATAATAATGCTTTTAAGGATATTAAAATATCCAAAAACACAAGTACACACAAAGTATACACAAAGTATTTAAGCAAATGAACAAAAGCTAGTTAACAAAGAACAGAAATGTTAATGTTTTACTGAGATTCAATTAGAGCATTCAGAAGTCATGTCAATCCTATTCTATACATAAAAGATAAAAATACTTCAATGAATAAAATAAATTACATTTTAGGAATATTGTCATATAGAATGGATATAAAAAAGAAACTTTTTGAATAAGAATAATTAAATTAATAGATTAATATTAAATATTTGGGACAAATTTACAAAATCTACATTCACGGTCACTGGTCCATTACTGTAGTAATACAGTCGAATCTCTACTTACGGACGCTTCCGTAAGCTGACAGTTCTACTTACTGACAGCTTTTCAAAACCCYGTTTTTAACTCGAAGATTGCGAAGCAATCGAAGAGTTATAGSAGGGAGATAGATGATGTGTGTGAGGGACTAGTTAATGAGTCACTTATTTTTTTCTGTAAACATATGAAATCCGTAACCAAGATGGCAAGGTGTWTTGATACAGAAATGGCTTTTTAAACACAAAAATGTGATTTTTGAGGTCTGGAAGTTCTTGCATAAGAATCTGTTGATTTCAGAAGTCRTTTTAGGAGATTTTGTGTCAATATGGCTCATWGATACAACATTCTATTACGGTGATTTCAAAGATTATTCCGATCCACATCGATTAGTATTTAACTCATTCATATAAATTTTATCCTTCGTAAAAAAACAGGGCACGGACAACACTACAACAAGTAAGAACTCAAAATATAAATTTTAACRGTCTGCATTCAAAATGAAGGTATCATCACTCCAAACTAAGAAATTGTCATGGTGTTGATAATTCATTGTCGATATGTTAAAGTGTTAGGGATGCATATAAATTATTAAATTCAACAATTTCAAGTTCAATATTTTCATTTTTTAKATTTTTTGTCGAAATCTAAACCATATCTGAACAAAGTCTGAGGCTTCATAAACATTTATGTCCACGGTATAYTTGTCTAACAATCTTCGAGTTGTGTCGCCATTGGCGGCTTGATTTCTCCCATACCAACACTGTATTTATATTTTCTATTAAGCAGACTTTCTATTAAGCGGACGCAGACACTTTGGGCGATTCACCTTTTCTATTGTTTTCAATCTCCCGTAAGCGGACACTTAAATTCAATAACTTTTATTTGATCTATTTTTGGTCAATTCCACGTTGAGGAGGCAAAATATGGCTACAAAACTGTTCACAACTACTAAAGTGTAGCAAGCTAAGTGGATCAAGCTTAGCTATAATTAAGCTCAAGGGGTCCCTAACACTATGTATGTGAAAAAAACAGATACCTCCTTTCCCTCCCTAGATATTATATTAAAAATAGTGACTGTTTCGGACATTACCCTAAAAACAACCATGTATTCAAGTGACTGCTTTTAAGCTAGAATTGCTGTGAATTGTKAAAAGCTTTCAAGAAACTAAAACTCTGACTAGTTTAAGTAATGAYGGGGGTTCAATACTGGCCATTAAAACTTTATTTTTTTCTATTATTTCTTTGTTGCAGACATTATCTAATACGTGTTGCGGAAATTACTTTTTTGGGATGGTATAGAATTATAGCACAAAATCTGGCAGAAAAAATATATGTTGTAGTTCAGGTTCAATATGATTTTGAACCAGTTCAATTTCTTCTGAACTGGTTCAGTTTATTTTGAGCCAGTCCAATATAACTCAATCCAGTACAAATCAGTTTAGGGTTAGGTTTAGGGTTAGGTTTAAGGTTGAGCCAGCATTATATAAAAATTTTCTTCATTTAATAAATTACAATTAAGATAAAAACAATTTGCAAACATTACTACCAAGAAAATCCTTGATGGTATAATTTTATTGGTAGTACTGTGGACTATGAACCAAGAGTCCGGTGGTTCAAACCCTGATGAAGGTAAGTGTTATTCATAAATTAAAAATATAGAACATATCTCAATATTTCTGTGGGGTGTAGGGTAAGATAAAGTAGGAAATAGTAGAAGGTAGAAAATAAGATGATAGATAGAAAACGGGAGAGAATGAGATGGGATATAATTCTTTTAGTTCTTTTAAGAATGCCAAAGCAAAAGAAAAAGAAAAAAAGATCAGTACAAGAAGTCTTGTACTGGAACAAATTAGATTAAACTGGTTCAAAAATATATTGAACCTGAACTACAACATATATAAAAAATATTATGTTTAATAATAAGTTGTCAGTTTAACYAGCTTGTGAATGATAAGACTAACTATACATGGAGCTGATTACGTGTTACTTATGGCCTTCTTTCTTCTTTTTTCAGTTTGGATTTGAGCCAATTTCTCGAAAACTCATCCCCATAATCAGATGGCACTTTTAGTCCATAGCCTCCCCCTCTGTTGATGGGCTTTCCAAACAAAAAACAAATGATATTTTATTGCTCTACCATTTGACGTGATGTTGAACAGGCTCCCAGAGTTTGTTTTGTTTTGGGCGTTTTTTTTGTTTGTAATTTTTTGCGAAGCCGAGCCAAAAATATAGTTAACTCTTTGCTTCTACTGACATTCAGCCTTTAGAGAAAACATTATAGCTTTTTCAACGTGACTTGAAAAAGTATTTGTAAAATAAATTGCTTAATCATTGAGTTATCTGATTCACTACAGTTAATCATGGGAAATGCTTTTTTGACTATTAAACAATGTTTGACGTTATTTAGCTGTTTTAAGATCCCTTTCTATTAGACGGACATTTCTACTTGCGAACACTTTTTCCGTTTCCCAAGGGTGTATGCTTACAGGAGATTCGACTGTAGATTGTTGTGCTCTTAATCGTACTTGCCCGTAATAAGATTAGTATGACATAATTATAAGGTTCTGCCAACCTCTGCCAACCTCGTTCCCAGGGCGTTATCCCTGTATATGTATGTAAACTAAATAGTTTATTTTTTGACGAAAAAAGGCAATAAGAATGAAATTGAACAAGTTAAAACASAATGAAAAAATGATTATTGTGAATTACCTTTTGTCAGGATCAAAATATCAGAAGAATATCACAGAAAGTTACTTTTTATTATCTAGAGTTTGACTTCGACGAGCAGTATTTAGTAACTCTGTATCAAAGAACACCTGGCTTCCAGTTTTATTTCAAACCTCCTATTTTCTCCCCTTGCCTGTCCTCTTTGTATTATGAAGGATTTTTTGTACTTAATCTTTACTGGTGTAATATTTTTTACCTTATACAGTAGTACATTCAACAAAATAATACTTTTTCATTGGTCGAGAGGAGTACAATTACAGYGTTAATTGTACTCCTTACATTGTCCTTATTAAATTTTGTTTCGCTTAATGTACTATAAACAAAAAATTGCACAACCTCTYGTACAATTTGGAATTAATAGTCACACTTCATGCTCAACTAACTTTTTACATTGAGTTAAATCAGWCCTTTTGTATTTCCTCACATTGCAGTTTTGCAATTTCTAGTTRAAGACTATTTATCTGGGTCCAGGTCTTTTTGCAGCGAAGTTTAGAAAAGTTAATTGTCTGCCACGTTCAAAAATTATTAGTTGGATCCATCCGCAATTTCTGCTGCATCATTAATAAGCACTATCAACCTCTCTCTACTTTTTACATGTAAGTTTAAGCTTATTGTTCAAGAAATATTCAAAGGGAAAAAAACAATTTCAACCMAAAAATTCAGTTGTTGTCATGGTAACTCTGATCAATCTGAAAAATCCTATTATTTAAAATTTTCATTTTATTTCTATAACTTATTACCTGATTAAAAAAATCAAATAAAAGGCTGCAGCCATAAGCTTATAAAATGAACGGTATGGTCGAAGAGACAACTTCTGTGCTACACCTTGATGCAAAAGTGAATCAAATGGAATATGGCTATGCCGTCAAATCGACTTTGAAAACAGCTTAGAAGTCTACTAATTAKCTTTCAATGTGCAACTGAAGAAGTTCTTGAAATTTGTCAACTCACATTACAGCCTCGAGACGTGCATCTTGATTAACAGCAGCRAGATTGTCAACAAATATCTTCTCTTTATCAAGCTCCTTGTGTAACAAATGAAAACAAAAGTCATTCTCAATTAACAAATGTATGATGGAAGATAAATGTTTTCATAATTACCATATATGCTGGCATTTTCATCTTGATAGCAGGTATTGAAGTTAGACAAATAATTCATCGAGCTTTATWTGTTATCGAACTACGTTGTCCAGCGGCTTCAATGTTGCGAATTAAAACCCAGTCTACCTACACAAACCACACACCAAAAACGCCACAGGCAACCCAAAATCCAGACGCAGCGTCCGGCATTCTATAAATTTCTTTGGAAGTTCTAGCGTTTTTAAAGGCTGTAAATCGTTATTGAACTGATCAACGCCAAATTCAGACAGTCACTATTTCTCAATGTGATAACTGGGAGTGATAAGTAATAGATTTCATAGTGGTGACTTTTCTCGCTCCAGAAGTTTGTCCACTAAAGCGCCGTTTACACGAGCAATTTTTGACAAGGAAAAATTGCTCGTGTAAATGGGGTAAAATTGACAATTTTTCCTTGTCRAGGAAAAGCCAACATGTTAGCTTTTCCTTGACAAGGAAAAATTGTCAAGGACGAAATTTGCTCGTGTAAATGGACAACAAGGAAAATGTGGCAAGGAAAAATTATCAAGGAAAACTTGTTGACCATTMACACGGGCAACGTTTCCTCGTCAAGGATAACTTGTTCTTCGTTTATTTATACAAGCAAAGAAACATTGTCAAGGAGGAATTGTCAAGAAAACTTGTTGACCATTTACACGGACAAGTTTTCCTTGACAAGAAACTWGAGGCGCCCCTAGACTTGCATTAAGCTTGGTTAGGCGGCAGAGRCGCTCTAGCTCTCTCTGTGCATAAATATTGCTCAATGACAACATTCCTATCAACTTGACTCTCAACATTCCTATTTTGTAGGACTGGAAGGTAAGGAGGAAGTACACAGAAGACGCATGGTKAGAACATAAACAAAGGAATCAGGTTTGCCGCCATCTTTTTGATTTCCAGAAAGAACCCTCTGACCCACATTACCATATATGGGGTTCCACGTGATGCCGAAGATATAACACGAAACGTCGAGTTATAACGCGAATTGTTTGTATCACCCATAAATGTAATAATCAACCATAAATGTAATACCCACCATAAATGTAATAACAGTCAACAATAAATGTAATAATCGACCCCACCATAAATGTAATAACTTTCAACCATAAATRTAATAATCGAGACCAACYATAAATGTAATAACATTAACCATAAATGTAATAGCTTTAATTATGGCAAACCTCTTTTAACGATTGTGCACCTGTAAATCAGGTGGTGACTGATATCTCGTCAGGCTACACAGATAGCGTGACGTCACAATGTGAACAGTGAGGGTAGGCAATCGCATCTTCTTACTGTCTATTCAAAMTTTGTAAAGGGTACAAAATTTTAAAGAGCATAGACCTCGCCGATTGTAAAAATTGAGGACAATGGACTACAATTGTTTTATACTCACAAATCTCTAGTATGTACAGCCGTACTAATAATGTGGGAACAATAAAATTGTTCTGGCCTTTTTAGATTAAGTCCATGATAATGCAAAATGAGCATTCTTGACGTCATACCCCCTTGACCATAGATGCAKGTATAAGTAACCAAGAAGGTTAATTACATAAGAATTTTAGTCGGTTCATAGGTTATGGACACCTTGTCAGGCCACCTTGGCCAGAGGTTGAGATTATGTATCATTGCAAAACGAATCTTGCCTTCCAAAGGCCATTAATTGGGTTATGCATGTTATAATAAGATAAGGTACCATAGTAAGCTATAGTATCAGTATAGTGGTCATACAGGCCTCGTATAGGCTCATGACTGAGGTTCTAGATCCACGATTATCAAGAYGAATGGCTCCTCAGAAGGAAATAGAAAGAAAAGGCTCCTTCGCTCGACTGACTATAGATGGGTTTTGGGGTTCAAGTTGGCAGAATTCCACAAATTTTCAATGAATGAAGAGCTGCATGTTTTTTACCCTGTTCATCCTTCGATGGCGAAGATGACCATGACTTCAGTTTCGGGATGAGTGGCGACGAAGTTGGGCCCGAAGGTGACTAATAAGTCCAACCCGGGCCCTGAAGGCTCGTCCACATGTAGGTCACAAGTGGGTGGGTGCTGTTGTTGAAGTGGAGGTAGCTCGGGCCTTGCGTACGGCACGTTTTCTCTGGGCCTCTGTGCCGCGTTGAATCTCAGATGCACGAGCTCCAGTGTTGAGCTTGGTACGCCAGCTTGARCGATCCAGAGCATGTGCCTCCCAACTGCTGATGTCAATGCTCAGGTCCTTGAAAGRGGCTTTGAGGCAGTCTTTGAATCGTTTCTTCAGCCCCCAACTGTTCTTCACCTGGCTAAGCTCACCGCACAGAAGTTGTTTTGGTAGGCGACTGTCAGGCATTTTGACAATATGTCCCGCCCATCTGGCCTGTGCTTTCTGTAGGATGGTCTGCACGCCGGGTATGCCGGCTCACTCAAGTACCTTCGTGYCGGGAATTTTGTCCTGACACTTGATGCGCAGAAGTCTGTGAAGGCAACTCAAGTGAAAGTGGTTGAGTTGTCTGGCGTGTCTGTTGTAAACTGTCCAGGTTTCGCTAGCGTAGAGGAGGGTCGTAAGTGCCACTGCACGGTAGACCTTCAGCTTGGTGTTCAGTCTGAGTCCTCTTCACTCCTAGACGTCCACGCGCAGTCGTCCGAAGGCAGCGAACCTGTTGTTGATCTCAACATCGATGTTCACCGCTCGTGWTGTTAGGCTCCTGTGGCGGCTTTCCTGGTGTATAACATTCCTCTTTTTGGTGCTGATRGTAAGACCGAAGTTATCACAGGCGCGTGAGAAGCAGTCCATTTAATTCTGCATCATCTGCTCTTTRCTGGCGTTGAGATCACAGTCATCAGCAAACAAGAAGTATCTTATGGCAGTATCTTTCACCTTAGTGACAGCCTGCAGTTGCATTCCTGAAGAATGTCGGAGCCAGCACGCKGCWCTGTTTGATTCCGTTTGTCACTAGGAAGACATCGGGCTTGTCTCCATCATCTAGTATCTTCACCATCACTCCATTATGGAAACRTTTTCCATGATCTTCCATAAGTCATCCCTGCAGACCGCGTTGAATGCCTTCGACAGATTGACAAGGTCTTGTAGAGGTCACAGTGCTGCTCTTGGCATTTTTCCTTAAGTTGGGCGTGTGGATGGTGGGAGATGACTCTGTGGTCCTCCCGCAGGATTCGGTTTATGAGAGGACTGCGTAGTGTGATGCTTTATGTCCGCGTCTGTTTACACTCTGCTTGAACCCAGTAGCCTGGTTACTCAACGCAGCTGAAGGATATAAGCTTTCCAAACCAATAGACACGAAGATTACCCATCTTCTGTACATTGATGACCTCAAGGTTTTTGCCTCATCTCAAACAAAGCTAAATACTGTTTTACAATCGACAAGAAAGGCAATGGGAAATATAGGATTGGAGTGGAACCCGAAGAAGTGCAATACTATCCATGGTAAAAGAAGGGTCCAAGTGTCTGATGCTTTAGGTCTTCGACTCGATCAGACAACAGTGGTTGAAAGTCTTAAGACTGGTTCAAGTCTGGTCTAGCCCATCGTTTACTTCAACTAAAAGTCCAGATACGATGATCGGAGGAAAGAAAGTTAAAGAACACTTGACGAACGCACTGGTTGACAACCTACAGAAGAGGATAGTGGAAGAAAAGTGGCATGGTCGTTTTCTATCTGCTCGTTGGAAAGACGAAGAACTTGTTCAAGACAGATGTTTTGCTTGGATGAAAGACTGGACGTCGGCACCCACACATACGATCGCTGGAATGATTGAGTTGTATGAACAACTCACACCAACAAGAGTTTATGCATCACATAAGACCAAAGCAACCGTAAGACGAAAGACCTGTAGAGCAAAGTATTACGAGACAATAGTAGCTCACTTGAAAGATTGCAAACCATCGACATGGTGGAGTGAAATCAAGAAACTCAGTGGCCTGTCTTCTTCGTCATCTAGCAACTCGGATTTTATGAAAACACTAATGATGTAGACGTAGCTAACTCCATCAACCAGGCTTTTCTGTCACCGATGAGCATCTTCAATCCCTTGCCAAATGATTATGTTCCAGAGCAAAACATGTCACCACCATCGGCTACAACTCCATACGTGCTGTCTACTCTCTCTGTATTTACTAAGCTCTGCTCCCTCAACCCAAGAAAAGCAACTGGCCCAGACGGTATTCCAGCCTGGATAATGAAAGAGAATGCAGATATATTAATAGAACCKATAACAAACATCATCAACTGCTCCTTTAATGAGGGATGCCTTCCCTTATCTTGGAAAACAGCAGATATTGTCYCCATCCCAAAACAAAGACAAGTTACAGACATCATTAAAGACCTACGTCCTATATCACTTACTCCTATTCTTTCCAAGATTGCTGAGGAGTTCATAGTTGAAGATTTTGTACGACCAGCTATGCTGCAGAAGATTGGCGAGAACCAATTCGGATGCCTTCCCAAATCTTCCACCACGCATGCACTACTCAGCATGGTTCACTCATGATCTAAGCATACTGATGGGTCGGGATCTACAGTTAGAATCGTTCTTTTCGACWACAGAAAAGCCTTTGATCTCATCGATCACAGTATCCTTTCCCACAAGTTGATGAGTCTAGACATCCCTTATGCTGTTCTATGCTGGATTATTGATTTCCTTAGAGAACGGAAACAGAGAGTCAAACTGGGGCGGGACTGTCTATCTGAAAGGGGCGACATCCCAGCTTGTGTTCCACAGGGCACTAAACTTGGCCCTTGGCTCTTYATCCTAATGATCGATGACATCAACATTGACAGCACTGAAATATGGAAATATGTAGATGATATTACAATCGCTGAACCTGTCACTAAACATCAAGCAAGCAAGATCCAGGAGCCTGTGGACGAATTAGTCACCAAGTCTAATGAGAACAAATTCCAACTAAATGAAGGGAAATGCAAAAAAAATCGCATTTCCTTTGCTAAATCCGACGTTGATCTACCTCCAGTTATCATCAATGATAAAGCTATCGAAGTTGTACCTAATGTAAAGCTACTTGGACTGAACATTTCAAACGATCTAAAGTGGAATTGTCATGTCGCTGAGATCTCCCGGAAAGTGTCCTCAAGACTCTATATTCTTAAACAACTTGAAATCATTTCTCTAGGACTTTTTCAAATTGACTTCAGATTGTTTTTAACAAAAGAAACAGAAAATTTATCGGAAAATCTATCGATAAATCGTCCGAAGAATGTCATTTACAAAAAATCGAAAGCATTTGTGGGTCATTTGTGGGACAAGCGCGAGCGTTCGATTCCCGCAAGCTCTACAACTGTTGTATACGATACGCGCGCTTACATTTGAAATTACAAACAGCCGGCGTAAACTATGTAGCGCGAGCTCAAGGTGTTATAAAGAGGTGAAGAACAAATATTACATTAGTTAAGAAAGCTGTACTGTACGTTACCACGTGGGATTTTTTCATTTTTCYACTCATTTTTATTGTTCATGGTTTTATCTCCACATCTCCTTATTTGAACTGCCTCTGTTTGCCTCAAGGTTGCATCCCCATTAAACACGTTAGTAACTCCACAGTTAGCCCAAGCACWGGACTTGGCAGTGAAAAACGAAAAGTTCGATAAAAGTGGTAAAAGTGAATAAAATTATTTCAAACTACAACATAGTGTTCTTCTTATTTTTCTCAACACCCCTGTGAAGCTTCAGCTCATTATGGTAAACTTTCCCCTACTTATATAATATTCGCTATACGGGGGCTTGCCGCCAACCAGGGTAATATTATCGTTTTCAGCGATTTTACTCTGGAACAGGGTATCGATTTCACCGATTTTTCTCTGGAACAGGGTCAGCGTTTAATTCCGGAATTATCGATGCTGGGTAAAAATTCACGGAGTGAAAATTCGKTCACGCAGGCTAGTGCTGTATTTTATTGTGGCACATGGTATCGTTTTCAGCAATTCTACTCCTGAACACGGTATAGTTTTCAGCGATTTCACTCTGGAACAGGGTCAGGGTATTGAGGTCCCAGTGGCAGACCCCCACCCAAGTTTGRAGGGAGTACCCCCCAAAGAAAGCCCCACACCCAACTACCCGCGTAACAGCGGGGCATTTGACTTGATGGAATGTCTAATATTGCTCTTTCTAAAACTCATGAATTATTCATTAGACATTCTTCCAATGAGCATTCAACTATGGGTCACATGACAGGMTCTATAACTCAAGTTATAAACACTGATTAATTAAACCGGTTMAGTTAGTTATAACACTCATGCATAAAACATCAGTGTTGTAACTGATTTACAGACACTCGATGTATGCCCAACACTAGAAAAGTTCTCAGTTTTAGACTCTCATCATAGAACTTCACTAGGTCTCGAGTTAAAATTACTTATCTGCAGAGTCACAGTACACTAAAACATAGTGGCGCTTGGATGTGGGAAACCAAGTTCATTACTGCTCATGCTCAGATGGAGATATCTTCATCAATTATTCACTTTTGATATTTTTTTATTTATTTCATGTTTATTGTAGTTTCTTAGGTTTGGGTTTTAGAAGTCATTTAAAAAACTCGTAATTCGTGTTTTATCGTGGATATAAACACTCGGCCTTCGGCTCGAATCTTTATACCTGATAAAACACTCTCTCTCGTGTTTTAAACTTTACATAAAAGCCCTGGTATATCCCGCTGGTGRAGGCAATTTGATAGTCAAATCCCCACCATTGTTCCCCGCCTCAAGGGTAAAATGATTTTGCGGCATTGTAACAAATCTCTTCAATCATACATCTGAATTTCAAAGGAAAAACAAAGGTCATAGTATGGAAAAGCTGAATATTCAATAAAGAGTCTACTTGCAGATCACGGTGAAGAAGAAGGAGAAAATGGTGGACTCATCGACCCTCTTTCCAAAAGCCAAGGTCGCCAAGGGAAGTCCCACCTGCGTTCCCGGGAGTTTTTCAAGTAAATCCCTAAATGAGGCTAAAGCCCATGATAAACTTGAACTCAGCAGTTTTCCAGAGTGATCGTTAACTCGAAACTGGAGTATTTTTTCGGTTATACAATCTCTGGTCGACAATGGCCCTATATACTGATTTTTAAACAGCACTTCGGCAGCTAACATCTCTGACCAAGAGAAAATGGCATAAGCTTTCTTTAAGAACATTGATACAACAGGTTTGATGCCATACAGTTTCATAAACTCTAAATTTTAGAGAAATATGGGATAGCCTCATTACTGTTCTGTCACACAATAACTTTTAAACCCTTTGTTGATAAGCAGAATTTTATAAACAATGATCCTCCTATACAGTAGTCTAGCTTGGTAAGTGGTCTCCTTTTATTCGCAGTTAATATGAATATATTACAGTTCCAGCATACAGCATTTCTCATGGWTTCTGTTTCTGAAATCTACTAGTTTTTAAAAAAAATAGAGCAAATAAGAAATAGAATTAGTTTCATGCTTCAATTAAAAGTACTCCAAAAAGATACAAAATTATTAGGAAAATGTGGTACTAAAATGTCATTATAAAAATATACTTTATACCATGTGAGGTAGAAGACTAGATGAGAAATTTATAGCTTCAGTTTACATTGAAATAATTCAATATAATATTGATAATCGCCTATGGTTTTTAAATTTTACAATTAAGAAGGCTGAACATTTTTGATTAGTTTGTACCGAACGTTTTCGAACTTAACAGTTCATCATCAGGGATTAAACAAAATTTTACATAAATGTGTACAGAGTTTTAAGCAGTAAGACCCTTGAAGCGTTGCTAATCAGCCGCTACCAGCCTACGCTGAATAGACAAACGGAGACATACCATCTAACACTTTTCCCCCAAGGGATTACGTAAAACTGCTTAAAACTCTGTACACATTTATGTAAAATTTTGTTTAATCCCTGATGATGAACTGTTAAGTTCGAAAACGTTCGGTACAAACTAATCAAAATGTTCAGCCTTCTTAATTGTA